CCTAAACAATCAGTTTACAATTTAACGTAACATGTACAGATTATAAACTTACATCTTGTTAGAAATAAGTAACAAACTCTTGTAATAAATAAAGCCTAAGCTTCTAAGTGTCAATGTAGCTCTCTAGCAGCAAAAGATTTTTAGAAATCGGTTCAGTAGTTTTTGAGTTTATTCGTTACATACAAAAGATACAGATCTATCATCTCTATGATAGTATAGATCCAAGCGAGAGATGCTTGAAGACTAGTACAATAATATATTCAGGATATTCGATTTGGCCAACATTTACTGCGGTCCCAAGGGATGAAGCAATAAACTTACCCTATCGATCCTTAACTATCCGATTATTCGAGCAAGGGGCGGGGAGGGTGCGGGTGAGGGTGCGGCGGGGGATTCGTAAATGTCATTCTTTTGTATCGATGTTCTGAATAATTAAACGATAACAAGAAACGTATCAATAGACGAGACAACACGAATAAAAAGGTAATCCACGACTCGTTACCTTCTGGTGAAAACACTTTAGTACCAAATAGAGAGGTGCTTAAGTGCGACAAATGCAAGGTGTATGGCACTGTCTACACCATTTTCTAGAACGTGAATTTTCTAGAAAATGGTACCACTGCTTCTACGACACTAGCACGTCTTGTCTACGATGTGGTCGACGACAGTATCTACGGGATTGTCTAGGAACTTAGCTACGACGTTTTGTCTTGTGTACGATATTAACTACGATTTGTCTCCGTTCGTGCGGTATTAAAAAAACTTAATTGGTAGTCTATATTTTCATCCAACCTATTTTCTACATCTATGACGAATTGCAACAAGATCCATGCAGCTCGCGTGGAGATACTTTCAACCTATTATAACATCCATCCATCGAAACATTCGCATTTATGATATTAGTAAGATTTTCTCTTATTAATTTAAGTAAATATTAAATTAAATTCTAGCAAAGTGGATCTGTGTTGTAATTTAATTTAGAAAGACAATTTTCAACTCGAA